GAGTATTCTCCACCAGTCCTTGCCTCCCAGTACTTTTCTGCTTATCCTCATCAATCACACCATCAGGTATGTAAATGGGCCTTCCACATGTCTGCACTAGAGCGACCTCTTCATTTGAAACTCTGAGCTCTCAGCATAACACACTGGCATACTCAACAAGTGTTAGGTGACTGACTGAATCCTATGACTTGAATTCCAATTACTAGACTACCTGGCTGAAAAGAGTTCCTTAAACCAACAGAAATTCACCAAGACAAAAATGCAAATTGTCCATTAAGCTAAAGTAGATACTCTCCTTTAAGAAAAGATTAAAATATTTATGTCTACTGCATTTTATTCTCCAAATTTCTAGTGTAAGGAGAGTATTAGCTAGTTCAAATTCCACGCAATAATTACTTCAGGCCCTTATTGTTAAAGAAATTATCCTACTGATCTTCCCAATCTTACTACTGTCCTGAAATATGAGCCTGTGGATACACACTGCTCCCAGTTCTTTCAGATAATAAAAATCTCTCAAGCCAGGTGCAATCCCAGCACTCAGGGAGGCAGAGGCAGGTGGATCTCTGTGAGTTTGAGGCCAGCCTGGTCTTCAAAGAAAGCCAAGGCTACACCAAAAAAAAAAAAAAAAAAAAAAAAAGTCTCAAAAAACCAGATAGACAGACAGACAGACACCCCACTACCTCTACTACTAAAACATAATAATATCTGCAGATATGAAACAGCTATACCAGAAATGTGGCCTTAGCCAAGAAACCAAAACCTCAACATAATGCCAATTCCAAAAGAAGCAGATTTAACAAGATTTTCATGCAAGAAAGCTGTGCCAAGTAGATTGAAATACCTCACCACAGTCCTGTCACTGATGTTTGGGGGGCAGGGGCACAGCAGCATAGAAGAGCCCAAATTACTTCACCACAGTCCTGTCGCTGAAGCTGGGGAGGAGAGGAACCCAGTCTGCATAAACTCCATGGAGCAGACATCTTTCTACCAAATCTTTATATACAAGTGGCTCACAACACTGATCTACATAGCACAAACCTGGAATTTCAGCACCGGGGATGTTAAGGAGGATGCCACAAGTTCAAAGCTAGCCAGGGCTATATCCTAAGAGATCTTGTCTCAAAAAGCAAAATAAAATAAAACATAACAAATGTAATCTGAGTTTCTCTTCTTTTATCTTTTGTCAAAAAGCTTAAGCAAAATCTTTGAGAAAGAAAAAATTTTAAAACTAAGAAATGTTTTCGATAAATTAAACGAACACTAGGGTAACTAAAAAATAAAATTATGTAACTGGTAACTGGTATTCAAAAACCACATAATACGTATTTTTCATGCTTAGAAACTGGTTAGCAAGGCTATTATAACAAACTTGTTTGCATAAAAATTAAGTTGCAACACCTTTATTGAAAAACTGATCTTCTAAGTTCACAATCTAAGTTCACAATTACCAACATCCTCCCATGGTGGTTTTTTTAATATAAAATGAATATTTATATAAATACCTAGGCAAAACAGGTCCCACATCATACCTACTGTTGTACAGCTTGCATGCCTGGTCAACATATACATCATAATTTATTTAACCAACCCTCCAAGGTAGGACTTTCAGTGTTTTCTCATTCTAAACAAAACCTCAGGGACTCTTCCTCTATGTCTTTTTGCCAAATCAAAAAAGGACCTCCGGAAGGGAAAGATTAAGATGACATATGAAACCTATCATGACTCCCAATGCCAATCTAACAGTCTACCTTAAAAAATAAGTCTCCAGGTTGCACACACACGCGCACACACACACACACACACACACACACACACACACACACACAGAGATGGAGACAGAAGGAGCAAAAGCCCCAGTGGCACACACTTGGGGAGGCTGGGGCACCAAGAGCAGGAAGGAGTTCATGGCCAGCATGGCCCAGAAGACAGTCTTAAAAGGGCGGGGGGGGGGGGAGGGGAATAAACACAAGTTTTAACAAAAAATGTTTTTGACAGTCACCACTGATTCCATACATGAACTCAAAAACAGTATTAATAAACTTTACCCTGACCCCTATCCATTTACCTCAGATGCTGCCACTCACTGGGATCGTGCTCATTCATGCTGTGTTTATCCTTTGCTTCAAGCGTCCGAATTTTCATCCTCCCATTCAGTGTTCTATTATCAACCAAGGGCCAAACAATGAGAGACCAGAATAAAACCTGGTCCCTTAGTGGGATTTCAAAGAAACAAGGGCAACAACACTTAAGCATTATCTACAGTCCTCAAAAGCCAGGTTCTGAGAATTGCTCCTAAGCCTCTATGTAAGGGACTCATGTCTCTTTCTGAAGCTGAAGCCAGCAAAGTAGATACCAAACCAAGAAGTTGTTTTGTTGAAAGTTTAGTTCCCTCGCATGGAATCCACACAGGGAAAGAAAGTGTGCCCATGAATACAAAACTACTACGGCATTTTTCCATTTACATTCAGAGCACCAAATGCTTCTACTTTCATACCAGAGACAGGACTGTTAAAACTGAGCTGGCTTTAAAACCTAAGTCAAGTCCCTCATAAAATTACTAGTTCACTATTTACAAAGCAAAGCTTTCCTGTGCAAAACTATAATTAAAGCACAGCTATCTAACAAGTGTGTTTTGTTAAGGCTTTGTGAATCTCCTGTCTGCCCATGCAGATTTTTCTATTAAATAAACAGTTTGTTAAGTAAACACTGAAGGGCATCATTATGAACTGGGAGGCATTTTACACAACCAAAACAGATATGCACGTTTAGTTTATATGCCAAATTAACATTAGCACAAGACAGAACTGACAATGGTTTTGAGGTCCATACCCACTGAAAACATTCAGTCTCCCATTGGATTTAACAGTCAGGACAGGTCCTCTAAAACACACCCCCAACAGCAAGCTGTTCAGAACACCCCAAAAGTACCCTTTGTATTCCATTCAAACTAACATCAGAATAAAATCCAGGCTCTCCCTTTTAAAAATGACTCATGGAAGGAAATATATTGGTCAACATTACTCAAATTTACACTATGAAAGCAGAAGTGTTTTTCCTATGGACTAAAGGCAATGTTAACAGTCTAACCCTTTCACAACAAGAAAGGTAAACTTTTGTCAAAAGTAACAACAAGGTCTATGTAGGGATTGTTTTTGTTTTCTTTTTTCTTTCTTCAGTCTGAAGACTGAAATAGATATATTTCCCTTTTTAAAATCTATTTCTCTCATTTAAAAAATAAAAAAATAAAAATAAAAAATGAAGTCAGGTCTGATGTCACAGGTATATAATCCCACCGACTTGTGAGGCTGCGTCTAAGGGGTCACAGCTTTAAGTCCAGGCTGGGCTGCAGTGGGAATTCAAGGCCAGCCTAGGTATCTTAAAGAGAACTTGTTTCCTTCTAGCATGCATGAAGAAAGGGGAGGTAGGATGGGATCGGGAGGGGAGGAGGGAGGGGCTTATGGGGGGATACAAAATGAATAAAGTGTAACTAATAATAATAATAATAAAAAGAAAAAAATTAAAAAAGAGAACTTGTTTCAAAAATTAAAAAGTAGATGATAATACAGCCCTCCTAGAACCATAAATAAATAGGAAAGCAAATGTTTGTCTTGTTACTTAAATTACACTAAACCACATTAAGTTTAAGCGCCCATCTTTAAGAACTACAAGTTTAAAACCCAACAATTGTACTATATATTAGGGAAAAATGGAAAAACCTATTGGAAAAAAGGGGGGGGAGGCGCAGGAGCCAACCAAAGTAGAAAAGACTCCTACAATTTGTTAACAGGTCGTTTCCAAGCCTAGATCTCAAGTCTTGGGATCTAGAAAAAAATCTGCATGTAGTTAACCTACGGATTTTTGTAACCACGTTTCACAGACATTTTTACATAGCTTAGATAGGGTAGGGGCTTGCAAGGCCCTACCCTTAACTAAGGAACTACTGGAAACTGAGGGAAGCTAGGGGAGGAAGAGGACTGGTAAAATGCCTGTAGTCCCAAACACTAGCTGAACTGAGTTATTAAAGAAAAAGAAATGGAAGTTGGGAGATGGATGGGAGGGAATGGGAATAAGTTGAAGGGAGGAAATAGATCTGACTGTACAAAATTCTCAGAGAGTAAATGAACTAAATCTACAAATAAAAATATTTAAATGTAGAAAAATGGAGCTCCTCAAATTCTTATGGTTTTGACGCAACTTCCTAAACCTTTATAATACATGATACTCTCAATTCCACACGGGGCGTTTAAGCAAATTAAATGTCGCTTTTCGAAGATTTTCAAGGCACTTTCAGAAGAGAAAATCAACTTGAAAAGCTACAGAATCCACAGGACATTTTTCTCATTTAACAATCAAGCCGTGGTTCTTAACTCGAGCACAATCCCTTACACAAAAATCCCATTCGGAGATGTAAAGCATTCTCCTCTCCTCCGGCAGTTCAAAAAAGGTCTCCGTTTATTATAGGCTTGAAGTTAAAATTTAACAGAAAAGCCTTCTCTCTTGTTGACTACCAAACCCAGAGCCCTAGCATTTCACAGGAAGTGCATCATCACCAACGTAGTTAAACTTGGACGCTCAATCAAAAAAGGATCGCGTGTGTGCGTGCACATTTTATCAACGTTTGAGCAATAGAGAGCTAAGGGGCAAAGGGGATGACCAATTCTGTTTACAGGGCATCTCTCCACCAAAAAACAAAAATCGCCACGCACTCCGGCTACATTTAGTCCCAACACTGGCTTTCAGTTCAGGGTCAAGACTATCCCATCCCCTGCATCCTCTGTATTTCCCCGCAACCCTTCCGGTGAAGGTCAAAGGGCTACAGACAAAAGACAACAAATGCACGTGACAGAAGTTTCTCCCTTGGTGCCCGCAGGCCGGAAGCTGCGCAGCTCGCGCGTGAGGATCCCGGTCCCACGCGGAGCGCTGGCCTCGTTAAGAGGCTGCCCGGAGTCGCGGCCGCAGGCGGAAGCTGGAGAGGGCCGGAACCAAGCGCGGCCTGTTACCTTTTGCTGCTCCTCGCGAAGCCGCGCCACCTCCGCGACGCGCAGCGGCGCGGCGGCCGAGGCCTCTGCAAGGGGCTGGGGCTCGGGCTCCGGCTCGGACGGGGGCTCCATGCCCGGCGCCGCAGCCTCAGCGAGGCAAACAAGTCCTAAACAAGTGTTTATAGAGGCGGCGTGGCCGGCGGCTGCCCAGCGCCCGCGCGCTCCCCCTCATGCACCGCGCGCCGCTCTCTGAAGAGGCCGCGTTCGCCTGCGCCGCTGCCTCGGGGGCCGCCACTCGCGTCCGGGCTGCCCGCGGCCGCATCTCACACGCGCATGCCGCCGCTGCCACCGCCGCCGCCGCCTCGGAGCAGCAGGCCCTCCACCGAGCGCGCCACGCTCTCCTCCCACAGCCAGGCCCAGCCAAGCTTCCCGCGACAGCCGCGCCTCCTCCGCGCCTCCGCGCACGCTCCGCCCCTCGCCCCGCCCGCGCAGCACGCCGGGAATCGCTGAAGTCCCTCCCTGGTGGGCGGAGCTAGTGTGGGGGCGGGGCCTCGGGTGGAGGCGAAGGGGCTCGGGAAGCCGGCTGGAGAGGCCCACGGAGGGAGAGGGTACCCCACTCGCTCAGCGTTGCCTGCGGTGAGAGGAACTTAATTCGAGCGCTGAGGCTGCTCCATAAGCTCATTTAATTTTATCGAATTCAACTGTCTCCCGTGCCTTTTAATGAGTTAATGTTTTTTAATGAGCTAAAATACACAATATACAACTATATTTTGCGTATGTATTAATTACAATACACATTACAATTTTCCTTATATACATTAAGCTGCTGTATTAATATTACTATGTTACTACATATGTACCATTTAACATATTTTTCAAAAATAGCTGCTGCTCTATCCCACTTGTTTTATAATTCTGTGTTTTGTTTTATTTAGCAGTGGGACCAAACCCAAGGCTTTGGGCTTGCTATTCAAGCACTCTACCAGCTGAGCCAAATCCTCATCCCCGGTTCCACTTACTATTTTAAAACTCGTAGGCTGGGGGAAGGGGAGGGGAGAGGCACACGCCTTTAATACTCGACTCTCTGGAGGCAGAAGCAGGTGGCTATCTGAATTTGAAGCTAGCCGGGTCCACAAATCAAGTCCAGTCCAGCCATAACTCTACAGTGGAACCCTGTCTCAAAAATCAATAAATCTCTTGGACCCACTTCCTCCTCATGCATTTCATGCAGCCTCTGTTTGAGACAGTCCTCTAGTCTACTTTACTAAAGTAGTAGAACAGCTTTGTCCTAACTCTATCCTAAGCCCTGGCAGTAGAAGTGGATCTTGTTCCTTCAGTGTTGTGTGTATAGAAATAGGCTGGTAAGTACCTTCAGAATTCTGGCCCTCTGTAGATCTGTTTGCCTCTATCTTCCCCATCAGTCCCAGCTCCCAAGTCCACAGCCACCATTTTTTTTTTTTTTTTTCATCAAAGAAGGAAAAGCAGAGACAACTTCGGGATGTGATAAATGTAAATTTCTCTCCCTGCAGATGCAGCAACTTCTGAAACACGGTGCCTTTCTTGCTTCTTGCCAACAACAGTACCCCTGCACCCTAATCACCTCAGTAGCGACGACATCTTTGGTGGTGTGCTTTGAATATGAACCCATCCATCTGTTTGAACACTTGGTCCCCGACAGGTAGTGCTAATTTGAAAGGATGTTGAAAATTTAGGCTATGCTTGGTGGTGGTGGCTCCACCCTTTTAACCCCAGCACTAGGGAGGCAGAGGTAGACAGATCTCTGTGAGTTTGAGGCCAGCCTTAGTCTACAGAGCCAGTTCCAGGACAGCCAAGAAACAAAACAAAACAAAACAAAAAAAAAAAAAAAAAAAAAAAAAAAAAAAACACTGAAAAACCAAAAGAGATAAAATGGAAAACAAGGACGGCATCTTCAACAAATGGTGCTGGTCTAACTGTATGTGTACATGTAGAAAAATGCAAATAGATCCACATTTATCACCCGGCACAAAACTAAAGTCCAAGTGGATCAAAGACCTCAACATAAAACCAGACACACTAAACCTGTTAGAAGAAAAAGTGGGAAAGTGCCTTGAACTCATTGGCACAGGAGACAACTTCCTGAGCAGAACACCAACAGCACAGGCTCTAAGAGCAACAATCAATAAATGGGACCTCATTAAACTGCAAAGCTTCTGTAAAGCAAAGGACACTGTCCTTAGGTCAAAACGACAGCCTACAGATTGGGAAAGTATCTTTACCAACCCTATATCTGACAGGGGCTAATATCCAGAATATAAAAAGAACTCAAGAAATTAAACAGCAACAAATCAAGTAATCCAATTAAAAAATGGGGTACATTCTCTAAACAGAGAATTCTCAGAGGAATATCAAATGGCAGAGAGACACTTAAGGAAATGTTCAACGTCCTCAGTCATCAGAGATAAGCAAATCAAAATGAGATTTCACCTTATACATCAGAATAGCCAAAATCAAAAACTCAAGTGACAACACATGCTGGAGAGGATATGGAGAAAGGGGAACACTCCTCCATTGCTAGTGGGAATGTAACCTTGTACAACCACTTTGGAAATCAATCTGGCACTTTCTCAGACAATTAGGAATAGCACTACCTCAAGATCCAACTATAGCACTCCCAGGCATATGTCCAAAATATGCTCAACAAGGACATTTGCTCAACCATGTTAATAGCAGCTTTATTTGTAATAACCAGAATCTGGAAACAACCCAGAAGTCCCTCAACTGAGGACTGGAATCAGAAATTGTACATTTACACGATGGAATACTACTCAGCAATTAAAAACAAGGAAATCATGAAATTTTCAGGCAAATGGTGGGAACTAGAATATATCATCCTGAGTGAGGTATCCCAGGAGCAGAAAGACACACATGATATATACTCACTTATAAGTGGATATTAGACATATAATATAGGATAAACATACTAAAATCTGTACACCTAAAGAAGCTAAACAAGGAGGAGGACCCTGAGTAAGATGATCAATCCTCACTCAGAAAGACAAAAGGGATGGACATCAGAAGAGGGAGGAAATGGGGAACAGGACAGGAGCCTACCATGGAGGGCTTTTGAAAGACTCTACCTAGCAAGGTATCAAAGCAGGTGCTGAGACTCATAGCCAAGCTTTGAGCAGAGCGCAGGGAATCTTATGCAAGAAGGGGGAGATAGAAAGACCTGGAGGGGACTGGAGCTCCACAAGGAGAGCAATAGAACCAAAAAATCTGGGCCCAGGGGTCTTTTCTGAGACTGATACTCCAACCAAGGACCATTCATGGAGATAACCTAGAACTGCTCAGATGTAGCCCATGTCAGCTCAGTCTCCAAGTAGGTTCCCTAGTGAGGGGAACAGGGACTGGTTCTGACATGAAATCAGTGGCTGGCTCTTTGATCACCTCCCCTGATGGGGGGATCAGCCTTACCAGGTTACAGAGGAAGACAATGGAGCCAATCCTGATGAGATCTGATAGGCTAGGGTCAGAGGGAAAGGGAGGAGGACTGCCCCTATCAGTGGACTGGGGAAGGAGGGGCATAAGAGGAGATGGGGGAGGGAGGGAGGGAGAGTAGAATTGGGAGGGGATGAGGAAGGGGGCTACAGCTGGGATACAAAGTGAATTTATAAAATAAATAAACAAATTAAAAAATTATTAACTCAAAAACAAAATAAAAAAAGAAAAAGAAAAACCAAAAGAGAGAGAAGGAAGAGAGGGAGGAAAAGAAAAACAAAGGAAAGAAAGAAAGGAAATTTAGGATGTAGTAAGTAGAGGGGGTGGGTAAATGGGGGTGAGTTTTTGGTATGTCATATGTCATCCCTGGCCACTTTCTGTCACTCTCTACTTCTTGCTCAGGCTTGAAGTAAACAGACAGACCATGTCATCCTGCTATAATAGACTGAACCCTCTGAAATAGTATTCTATACAGAAAATGATCCACGATAGCTTTACCCTTTTGAGTGACTTTAATAAACATGTATCAAGCAAAAGAACAAATAACAAAAGGAAGTTAGATAAACTATATCAGGCCCTTACAACATCTAGCAAAAGTAACAAGAGTAACCAGCCTGGGAGAGCAAGCAAAAATTAAGTAGCAAGCAGCAGATAGATAGCCTCAAACTGAGCACTTTACAACATCCTTCAGTAAGACTCGGGAAGCCTGGCTGAGTCTATCAGTCAGGCTGGACTTCTATTTGGGATATTTTCAGCTAGAGCGAAGGGTTCTCTCCGTTGGTAAGCCTCCCACTTCTCGTTCCCACCAGAGGCCTTTTATATCACAGCCTAAATCATAGGAACTCCTGTTAGAGATGGTTCACCTTCTATCTGTTGTCAAGGGTGCGCTTATAGCTGTTTGTTGTTCTCTCTTCCTGTCACAGAAGCAAGAGGCCAGCCTGCCCCCAAGAAAGCGTCTCCAAAGACAAGTGAGATAAGCCTGGTTGAGTCTGCAGTAAGGAGAGTCTGCCTTGCTCTCGGAGTTAGTTCTCAGCACGTGCAAACAGCACGTGCAGTTTACCAATTATTATATTACAAATAGTGAGCCAAAACAAATGCTTGCACCCTTAAGTTGTTTTGTCATGTCAGTCACAGCATCCCCAGGGGTGGTTCCACTCCACCCCTGAACTGCCATGGGCATCTACCCACCCTCTACTTCTCTTGGATGTGATCATCCCCAGATCACAAAGTCCCTGTGCTACACCCCCGAGCTCCGGTCTAAACAGAAGGGTTTGTACTGGAAGTGGTTGCTGTAGAGAGGGCTGGTCACACTGCACACACAGAGGTTTCTGGAGGCTTATAAGGAAGTTCTCCCTCATTCTCTCAGTGCTTCCATAAAGAATCCAACCCTTGAAGTAGAAGGCAAAAAGATGTGTGTTTGAGGCAGCTCTTCTTGGTGGGGGAAGGCATGACAGAGTTTGTAGCAGCAGGAGCATGGGACCGGATCTTCAGATCTCAACAGACCAAGTAGCAGAGAAAAGGAATGCTGACTCTCAACTGGCTTCCTACTTTCTCTCTTTTCATTCAGTCTAGAACCCCAATCCATAGGATGGTGCCAACCACATTCAGAACGGATCTCTCAGTTAAATCTCTCTGGAAATTTTCTCAAGCATTCACTCAAAACTGGGGGTCCCTTGACGCTAAAGAGATGTAAGTAGAGGTGAAGAGTGCTCCCTGTGCTTTCAGATAGATTTCAGATGCTTTCAGACTGGATTTCAGCTTCAAGCACACACTTTGGATCCAACACCCTCTTCTGGCCTCCACTGGTACCTCCACTCACATGCACAAAACTCCCACACAGAATACATAAACATAATTAAAAATAAAAATAGGGCTGGAGAGATGGTCCAATGGATAAGAGTGCGTCATGTGCTTCCAGGAGACCCAAATTTAGTTCCCAGCA